TCCTGTACAGGTGTGATACCACACACACTACACAAAAGCCTGGGAACATTAGAATTGAGTAGAAATACATACATAACACTACAGAAGGCCACTATATTGAATACATGCCACATTGTTAGGAAATTCCTGAATATAGACACTGACACACTTATTTAATTTTAGTTTTGTTTAGGTTGCTATGCCTTGACTCTGGTCCGGCATAGTACACAGCCACCGGTGTGAACCGAGTAAAACCCACTAAACCCAACATAATAATAATAATCTATATCTATAAAGAGAGTGCTTGTTTGTTTGTTTGTTCACTATACACTCCTAGGCCATTCGAGCAATTGTTACAAAACTTAGAAGTATGTTAAAACATAACTGCCTACTTAGATAATGTCATACATCCCACCCCATAATATTGATCAGATTTCTATTATTAAATCCTAACATATTTAAACAATATTATAGCTTTATCTAAAACAATTGTCTTGTTGCAACAATTTAGTGTTTTGTTAGAATTTTTTTAATGATACTGTGAACTGTAATCTTTAAATCTATAAATGTTATATTCACTTAATTACTGTGACAATGATGTAATGGTAAATAGACAACTATATTGATGAGTAACACATAGCATTCATCTGCGTGGAGTCAAAACTGTTACACTGGTAGTTGATTGTGGGTTCACGAGCTGACCACATGGCGTTTTCCAAGTTTTCTTCAAGTTAATAACACTTAAATAGAGATCAAACTCCTCTTGGAAGACATTCTTCTCAGCAGATCACCCAAGTGTCGCATTGCCAAAAATAACATTTATTACAAAGTTACCAGCAAGCACAAAATGTGTTTTAAGTGGTTTTCAAGGGTGCCAAGTTTAAATATTTGGTCCCTTTTTTCGTGAAATTTTATTTGTTCTCAGATTACCATTTGATATACAGCTGTGAATAGTATTGTACAGTACTATTCAATGAAAATATTAGAGCTAACATGGCTAGTGAAATTGTGCCATTTCGTACCACCCGAATATCATGAAAAACATGACAACGGTAGGCTAAAATAACCTAATTCTTTTATGGTTTTCATTTTAATATTTGTTCTTATTTTTGCCCAGGCAATGCCAGGTTTATCTGCTAATTATTATATATTTTTCATATTTTAATTAAAATGTTTAATATTTAAGCAGAGAAAAGCCCTTATTAACTTTATTATACTTTATTATTATATTAAATCCTGATTAAATTACTTACTGAACTTTTTTCTCTAGAGATACATGGAGTGTACAGCAAATCTGAAAGAATTATATGAAGACAAAGATGGGTAAAAAGTTTTGTATTTTTCATTTTCTGTTGTAAATGGTTAAAACACACAATATTATATGTAATTTAATTTTCAATCATATATCTGTCTTTGAACTTCATCATAAGTAAAATATACAAAACACAAGCCCAAATATGAGGAAAAATTATAGAAACATACATTTCATCAAAAATAGAAAATACTGGATTAATTTTTAAAATTTAAAAAATTTATCAAGATTATAGATTTAAGAATTAAAGTTATTATATGAATTATAAAATTAATCATTTTATAAAAATTTATGTAATCAGTTATTTCCTCTTACTGTAGTAATATGCAGATGCTTTCAGTAATTTGTTTGTCTTGTTAATTTAAGTTATATGTAATATTTGGTGTGTTTTATAAAAGCAATTATCAGGAATATATTAAAGGAATAGTTTTATAAACTATATTTCAAATATATGTACAATTCTTTATATTTTTTTAGTTTAAGAAAAGAAGAAATATCATCATTATCAGGACCTAATGAATTTGCAGAATTTTATGCCAGACTTCGAGCAATTAAAGAATTTCACAGAAAACATCCAAATGAAGTATGTATAAATTTAATACAAAATTTATGATTCAGTAAGAATACTAATTATATAATATCAAAATTTTGTATTATTTAATGTATAATAAATTAGTTAATGTTATGTTTATTCATGAATATCACTTTCTGAATTTAAAATAATCAAAAACACCTTAGTAATTCCAGCAACGAAGTATTTAATAAAATAAAAAACGTTTTCGACTATATTTAATAGTCTTCTTCAGTTTATCCTCTTTCAAACGAAAACGAACGTAAAATAGAACGCAAGCAATACAACGGTTTAAAAATTAAAATTATTTACGTAAAACGTAAATAAAACGTAAAAAATTATAAATAAAATATTAAGAAATTAATCGTAAAAAAAATTAATTGTTGTGGTAAAAGGATTTCCATGCGCAGGATAGACTATCTGCATCTCTATGGTTGATGCATCCTTTGTTAATATGCGCCTTGTAAATTTCAAGTTTTTCAATATGTTTAAGGACTTGTTTGTTGGTGGCTGTCCTAATTATAGATGCTTTGTCCCAATGTACATTAATATCTTGAACTTTAGCAAAGGCTGCAAGTATGGTGCTGTCCACGTTTTTAGTAATAGAATACTTATGTTCTTTAATCCTCTGTTTTAAAAGTCTCATGGTGGCACCAACGTAAATGAAATCTGAATTAAATCGGCAATCACTTAAAGGAATAGAATAAACTCCTGTACTATTGTTACGGTTTCCTTTCTTCTTATCATTTCGTAACATTCTATAAATTGTCGGATTACGACGATAAATAACTCTTAAATTATTCTTGTGAGATACTTTTTTAATCATCAATTGTAGGAAAGGTATATAGTTGAGAACTACTCTTGGTCCTTGGTTCTTAGTTGTAGGTTGCTTGTATATTTGATTACAAAATTTATCAATAAGAGCATTAATTTCACTTATACGATATCCCTGTTGCACAGCTATTGTACGTATGTTATTTAATTCTCTGTGTGTGTCAACCATACTCGTACAGTGGGTATAGGACCGCTTTATCCATGATCGAAATGCTGCATTCTTAAAATTGTGAGGATCAAAGGAATTCTTCGGTATAATAATAGGTAGATAGCTAGGCTTTCGATAAATATCTGTCCATATTTCCCCATATTTACAAGTTATGGATAGATCCAGAAAATTTACGTTAATGTCACTTTTCTGTTCCAATGATAAAGTCACTCCATATGGGTTGACTTTATCATTGGAACAGAAAAGTGACATTAACGTAAATTTTCTGGATCTATCCATAACTTGTAAATATGGGGAAATATGGACAGATATTTATCGAAAGCCTAGCTATCTACCTATTATTATACCGAAGAATTCCTTTGATCCTCACAATTTTAAGAATGCAGCATTTCGATCATGGATAAAGCGG